TTTTCTCGTTTCTGCTTCTTTCTTTTTTTCGTTTCTGCTTCCTTTTTTTTTTGTTTCTTTTTTTTCCTTCTTTTTTTTTTTGTTCTTTCTTTTCTTTTTCTTTTTTTTTTTCTGCACTCCTTCTTCTTGACTTTATTTTTGTTTCTGTTTTTTTCTTCTAATGCCTAAACCCCACCTCACATTTCCTAAGAGAGTTTCTTTTCCCAATCCCTTTTCCTATTATTGCATAATAACAGATCCTAAACTTCATGCATAAAACAAAATAAAAATCTGCAAATAGTTATTTTGGATTGTAGGAAACCAAACTAATGGGGAAAAACAAGTGAAATCATGTTTGTGGCAAGCTTCAAGATCAATTACAGATAAACCAAGAAAGAAACAATTAAAAGGGCAATCAAGCAATTCACAAAAGAGAGGAAGAAAGAACAAAATATGAACAACAGAAAACGCAGAAAGAAAAAAAAATTATGAACAATGCAAACCTGAAGATAAGGAAAAATCAAGACTTTATTCTCTTGAAGTCCAAATACAAGTTTCTGCATTTCCCATTTCTCTCTCTCTACTCTCAGATCTCTCTTCCTCTATTCTCCTCCTCTTTCCCCTTAGAAGCTGAAGGGCCCCCCCTTTTTATAGACAAAAGGAAAACCCAATCCTAATGTGCTTCTAATACTCAAATCCCAATCCCTAAGATAACAACTCAATCCTATTTGGAATGGGATTTCTTAGTTTTCCCACATCTACCCCCTTTTCTAGTCTAGATTCATACCTTCTATGCTTAGAACTCCTTTCTTTGAATCAATGTCGAACTCTTCTTTTGCGCCTCTTGTTGATGACTTTCAATCTTTGTAAATTTCTTCAAAACTTGAGTAGATTTAGGTATAAGTCAAGGAAATTTTTGTGATTTTTCTGTTTTGAGAGGGGTTGGCGACGGAGCAAAGAAAGAAACGAGTTTGGGTGGCTAGGGTTTTCAACCTTTATTTCAGCTTACAAGCAAAACGACGTTGTTTTGCTAGTTTCTCCTCTCAACCCTTCAAGCTTCACACTTTTGCAAAAATGGTCCATGAGCTTTTACTTTTATCACTTAGCCCCAATTAAAATTGGGTTATGATAGTTGCCCCCTTTTTACTTTTCTTTTGTAAAAGGAAAAGTAAAGAATAAAAGAATAACCCAATTTTAAGTTTTGAAAACAATGTATAAGTGAAATTTCTTTATCTCTCCTTCTTCCTCAAATGTGGTCTTCATCTAGGATGTGACTTCTAAGAGATGTGACTTCTAAGATGTGGTCTTCATCTAGGATGTGACTTCTAAAATGCGGTATTCATCTTATCCTTTGCGAGATGCGGTCCTCATCTTATCCTTTGCGAAATGCGATCTTCATCTAGGATGTGACTTCTAAGATGCGGTCTTCATCTTATCCTTTGCGAGATTTGGTCTTCATCTCTCCTTCTTCCTTAGATGCGATCTTCATCTAGGATGTGACTTCTAAGACGTAGTCTTCATCTTATCCGTTGCGAGATGTGGTCTTCATCTCTTCTTCTTCCTTAGATGCGGTTTTTCATCTAGGATGTGATTTCTAAGATGCGGTCTTCATCTTATCCTTTGCAAGATGCGGTCTTCATCTTATCCTTTCTGAGATGCGGTCTTCATCTTATCCTTTGCGAGATGTGGTCTTCATCTCTCCTTCTTCCTCAGATGCGGTCTTCATCTAGGATGTGACTTCTAAGATGCGGTCTTCATCTTATCCTTTGCGAGACGTGGCCTTCATCTTTCTTTCTTCCTTAGATGCGGTCTTCATCTAGGATGTGACTTCTAAGATGCAGTGTTCATCTTATCCTTTGCGATATATGGTCTTCATCTCTTTTTCCTTAGATGCGGTCTTCATCTAGGATGCAACTCTTAAGATGCGGTCTTCATCTTATCCTTTGCGAGATGTGGTCTTCATCTCTCCTTCTTCCTCAGATGCGGTCTTCATGTAGGATGTGACTTCTAAGATGTGGTCTTCATCTTATCCTTTGCAAGACATGGTCTTCATCTCTCTTCTTCCTCGGATGCGGTCTTCATCTAGGTTGTGCCTTCTAAGATGCGGTCTTCATCTTATCCTTTGCGAGATGCGGTCTTTATCCTTTGTGAGATGTGGTCTTCATCTTTCCTTCCTTAGATGCGGTCTTCATCTAGGATGTGACTTCTAAGATGCGGTCTTCATCTTATCCTTTGCGAGATGCGATCGTCATCTCTCCTTCTTCCTCAGATGCGGTCTTCATCTAGGATGTGACTTCTAAGATGCGGTCTTTATCTTATCCTTTGTGAGATGCGGTCTTCATCTTATCCTTTGTGAGATGTGATCTTCATCTCTCCTTCCTCAGATGCAGTCTTCATCTAGGATGTGACTTCTAAGATGCGGTCTTCATCTTATCCTTTGTGAGATGCGGTCTTCATCTCTCCGTCTTCCTTAGATGTGGTCTTCATTTAGGATGTGACTTCTAAGATGCGGTCTTCATCTTATCTTTTGCGAGATGCAGTCTTCATCTCTCCTTCTTCCTCAGATGCGGTCTTCATCTTATCCTTTGTGAGATGCGGTCTTCATCTCTCCTTCTTCCTTAGATGTGGTCTTCATCTAGGATGTGACTTCTAAGATACGGTCTTCTTCTTCTTCTTCTTCTTCTTCCTCTTTTTGAGATTAAACTTCATTTCATCTTCTTCCTAAGATGCAACTTCATCTAGGATGTAATTTTCCAAGATGCCAACTTCATCTTTTCTCTTTCTTTTTTTTTTTTTTT